AAAGACGGGTAGATGAGGCGCTTAGGGACATGGTTTAGTAGGCATGGTGGTGTTGGGTTGATGGTTGGACTCGATGATCTTGGAGGTCTCTTCCAACCTTAATGATTCTATGCTTGTGGTTGTATAGCGTTGATAACCTAGGACCATAACTCTGGGAGAGACTTCACAGAATGGTTGAGGTTGGAAGGGACCTCTGGAGGTCATCTGGTCCAATCCCCCTGCTCAAGCAGGGCCACCTAGAGCCAGTTGTTGAGGACCATGTCCAGATGGCTTTTGAATACCTCCAAGGAGGGAGACCACAACCTCTCTGGGCAACCTGTGCCAGTGCTCAGTCACCCTCACAGCAGAAAAGTGTTTCCTGATGTTCAGAGGGAACCTCCCGTGTTTCAGTTTGTGCCCACTGCCTCTTGCCCAGTCACTGGGTATCACTGAAAAGAGCTGGCTCCATCTTGTTTACACCCTCCCTCCAAGTATTTGTACCCTATCAGAAAGAATCCTTCTAAGCTCAGTGCTGTTGTTACAAGTCTCCCTACACCAACTCCTTACAGAAGCCTTTGTGATTTGCCAAAACTGTTAATAGGTGGTATGATAAACACTTCTACACAAGTTTCAAAAACTCTAGGCCCTGAACTACAGTTTTTCAAAATTGTGCTGGCTTAATAAAATAACCTTTCTGGGAAAACGTAACATCCTAAGAATAAATATTTAATGGATAAAATTGCACTGATTTTCAGTTTGGTATAAACTATTTCACTTTTGGGAAATACAATGGCAATCTGCAGCACTTTTCTCCTTTGCTCTTGATCTTATAATTATTCCATGCAGATTCTCAGCAGTTAACTCTATTGTGTTATGAAAAAAAAAAAAAAAAATCACACTTGAATAGTAGCTGCTAACTGATATTAGAAGCAATATGTGCATCAGCTACAAAGTGCCAGAGGAGCAGCCTGTCCCTGTGAATCATGATAGCCAGCTTCATTATTTAAGAACGTTTAGCAGAGAACTCAACACTGGTAAAGCCCTTCAACTGTCTTCACATAAGTCATTCCTAGAATTAGGAGTCTGGGAGTTGGGAATGCACTGGCTGACTAGGCAGTTCACCAACACAGACCCAAATACAGGGGAAGGACTCAGAGGTACACGTAGGCTGAAAGAACAAAAATGGAAAAGAATCAGACCCTGCCAAGGCTGCAATTTCACTGGGAAGGGAAGGTCCTCAGACCAGTCCAGGATTGTACCTCATGGCTGTACATATTCACTCTGTGCTACCAAATGTACAAATTAGAAATATACAGGAAAAAACCCAAGGTTGGTGCATTTGCCTAGGCTCTCACAAAATCAGCTGTGACATATCCAGCCAGCGCGACTGATGAAAACGCACCTCCCACTTTTGAGACACTCTCCCTCGTACAGGAGGGCTCTCAGAGGAGCGCTGTACAAATGCAATGGTTGCTTCATGCTACCAGCTGCAAGAACAAAATCTCAAAGTGAGGCCTATACTCAGAAACATGGAAAAGCACAATGACACCTGAACTAGTATCCACACTGCAAGTATTGTGGTCATGGTGGCTGTACCAACTCCTCTGCTGCTGAAGTAGACAGCATATGGGTCTACCAGTCTAACAGACAGAGCTAGATTGCACAGACCGACTCATTTTAATCCTTAATAGAAGCCTACTTCAACTGAATGCCTTGCACTTTGCAAAACATTCTTCATGTTAATATTTATTTCTGTCACATATTTTATTTCTACATTGCATTTCAGGTTGTCCAAAAGGCAGTAATTGAAGTGGATGAAGAAGGAACTGAGGCCACAGCAGCTACTGGGTCAGAAATAACTGCATTCACAGTGCCTCCTGTCATCAAGGTGGACCGACCGTTCCTTTTTATGATTTTTGAAGAAACTTTTAAAACATTACTGTTCATTGGCAGGGTGGTTGATCCAACAGAAAGGTGAATAAAGGTAACAGTTTCTATTCTGTGGTATGTAAGAGGCTTTATTTCTATTTTATTAACTTACATTAGAATAAAAAGGACAGTGAAATATGTAAATGTGAAAAACTGTTTTGTCTCTCCAGCTAGCAGTAGGTCATCCTATTAATATTTTATTAATGCCCAAGTGACAAGCTAAATTCACTAAGGCACAAAGTGACAAAAATGTGTTTTGTAAAACCTACTATGCAAATTAAAAAGTCCCCACGGAACTGAACTTTCAAAATTCAACATGTTAGTGAAAAGCATGAATGAAAACCAAAGACTCATATGCCAAAATATTCAGGAAGCTCAAACACTGGAGCTTGATGTTCCTCAATGTCATCTTCGGTTGCGATGAGACTTAAGAGCCTACTGACCTCGACGTTAGCAGAATTTTGCCAAAATGTTTCAGAAAAATATTTCCATGATCTAAATACAATTAACCTTATTCAAGTAGTGCAGTTTCTGATTTCAACAGAACAGCAAAATCTTTAACATTTAGTAAATTTTAATTAGCGGCAGAGCCCTATATATAAAGTTTGAAATAATGCAAAAAGCTACTTCTAGCTATATATAACAGATCTAAGCGTTACTCTACTTGCTTACACAGCCTTCACAAAATAGCTGCCCAAAAGGGGGCAGAAGAGTTTTCAAAATAATTTGGCATAGAAGCTTCGAAGGTGTCTATCAGTAAACGCACACAGACAGATGCATCCACAAGAGAAGATACAAAAGATACATTACAGGGTAAAGCTGGTGAACATCTCTAAAAATCACCTCACTTACTATTAGATGTCTACCCACAGCAACCCAGACACTGGTGTAAGACACACAAAAGGATTTAGCAGGCAGACTGTGGTATCCGACTAGACGACGAAGGTGCATTTAACCTAACTCCGCATTGCGGTATGAAGGCGCCCAGAAAGAAAATCACTCCTTCCTGCCTCCAAATGATTAATAGGAAGAATGTTGCTACAAAGAACAACTCAGTTATCACTGTATAGTTGACCTCCAGCTGTTATTCTGAGTTGCAGGTAAAAACAATGCTACGAAGGGTTCAAAAGTATTGGTGCTGTCCAACAGAAGTAACCCAGAAGTAAGCAGCCCCAAAAAAAGCTTGCTGGGATGGAGGTCTGCAGTGTGAAGGACTGATGAAAGCATACACAAGACAGCAGGAGTTTTGTACAAGGACGATGTGCAGACCAAAAAATGTCTAAATAGAGCATTTAAAGATTACATAGCAGGAATTTAATATGTTGTAGGGTTACTGAGTGGAGCACGTGTTATCAGCATTAAATCAGTTAAAAATGACAGACAAATGACAGTCAATAAGAAACAAATGACAGACTGTATACAGAACTCATTACATGCTTATTAAGGGGAGAAATAGCTTGGATTCAAGTTTCTGAACTTACTGGCTGTTCTGCATTGCTCTAGTAAAGGCATCCGAGGGTCAAATACAGTTTTGAGTCCTGTCCTGCAGCTGGGTACTGCTGATGTGAGTTTGGTCCCTGGCAGAAGTCAGACTGAGAACAGATTGAGCAGTCTCCTGTGGTCCATGGGTGAGCAGCTGTAGCTGGCACGTCGAGTTAGTTGTCCCTGGGGACCTGGGAGTATCTGCTTTCATTAATGAGACAAAAGCAGAACCTGGGAGAGCCAGCACAGGTCATCTGTGTATCTGCATCAATATTGCATGTTAAATATCACAATACTTGAAGAAGCTTTTAAAGAAATCTGTGATTTTCAAGATCCTATGCCAGGCTGCAGAACAAACTGAAAACTTGAAGTTTCCACAGAATCCAAACAACGTCTGTGACTAAAGACAGAGAATACACCTAAATCCAACTGCAGCATAAGAAGCTTAAGAATTCAGACAGTAAAACACTGCTTTGTACACATTTTGTACTTCACACAAGACAGCATACATCCAGCATTATTACTATTTAAAATAAATACCTTCTATAGGTAAATGCTTTTATTTATTTTAATTATAAAAGATGCCCTGAGAATTGTTTTTTCAAGAACATGCATGTACAGCATTGTCCTAGGTTTTATTTTGAGTAAATCATCATTCGTATTTTTACATTATAAAAAGTAACCACACACACATATGCATTCACAGATCAGATCATCTTTATCATACACCAATAAATTGTAAAAATCACATATTTCTGATATCAATATATTTATACTGCTTCCATTTTGAAATAGAGAAGCTGACAATAGCTTCATAGGCTCTCTCTCAAGTATTGGCATAAATAGAACTTTTTAAAATAGAATCGCATGTTTTTCCACAGACAAATTTTGATAGAAACATTAGCATTAATACAAACAAATGCAGATGACATCACTGAAGCATGATAGCTTGCAATAGCAGCTGGTTAAAAACTAGATTCATCATTATAAATTATTCAAGTGAAAATACAATCTGAAATACTAAAAATTAAAACAAGTATTTATACAACAAAACTTACGAAATAAAACTATTTTTTATATCATCTGGCGACATCTGCTTTTAGATTGCTTTGAAACTTACACAGGATTTTTATGAACTTTACTTAGTACTTTTAAAAACATTACCTCCAAATTCACAGCACAATGCTACTGAAGTTTATTTTTTTATAGACTGATCAATGGTTCTGGACTTTGGTCTTAAATTAGGTTTGAAGGTTCTTTAAAATGTGGGATTACTTTTTCATATTCATAACAATGCCTTCTCTTTCTTGCATAAAAGATGGGTGCTAAGAATTGCTAAAATTGTAAATAAGCCAATTAAGTAACAGATATGTGCATTCTAAATCCAAGAATTTGAACTACAAAGGCATAATTGAAGAAAACAAAATCCTCTCTTTAGCTGCAGCAGTTAAGAGCACATAGCTGAAGTTGTATTTCATAACATTTCACTACAATGTTAGAATTCTGCAACCATTACTTATTGGAACATATTTTACAGCTTGGGTTTTTATTTAAAAGATAAAAAGTTTTAACATTGCAAGATGCATTTTATTCATTCCAGGCATTAGAGAGTCCCATCTGCCGCTCCCACCTTATCTCACCAGAATGTGCTTCCACCAGCCTCTGGTTCCCTTCTTTTTCTGTCAGAAGTTCTAAGAGTTTGATTTTCTGTTTTTTCTTCATACAAGAGAAGAAACACATATAATATGTTGTTGCTATATTATTAAATAACATAACATCATAAACTGCTATTGCATGCAACATTTTAACATAACCCTTCGCTGCTGTACTTTAAAAATTACTAGCTGCTCTACTGCACCCACTGAAAAAGCCAAATGGACACATTCTGAGGGCATTCTTCACAAGAAGCGTGTATCTCTCCATTAAGTTTTCTACAGAAGGTCATGTAGAGATCCCTCTAAGTGAGATGGTTAAGGCAGTACAAGCAGTCTACTCATGGCTACAAATAACGCCAGAGGTCTCCAGCTTAACCCATGATAAAATCTGGGGAAAGTGGAGATGGGGAAGAGAGAGAAGCTTAGAGCTCTTTACAGTGTTATTTCTAGGTCTTCTGTTGATCATGTCACTTGGGCAATTTCGGCACTTTTCATAGCCTTAATTTTTTAATCTTTAAATATATTGTTCTTCAGCTTCGCAGAGTTGTAGCTACATCAATTAACAACTGTTTGTAATGGTCAGAGATCTTTGGAAGAACAGGGCTTAACTTTTAGTACTCTGTGGAAATATTTGCATCCATATTTTACAATATCATTTACAAACAAAGCAAGATATTGTTCTGCTTCACCCTTTTAAAATTGCTGATGGAATCTTTCATGATAATACAGCAGTGTTAGGATACCTACTAGCTTCGTCTTAGAAACGGCACCTAAATCACATGCCAGTCCCACTGGACCTCAGAACTCTTACCAGCAGAAGGAAAACATGATTGGAAGCTGCAAGTAACCAACTCAGTGTAGTAGATCAGTGGCAGAACTACTTCGTCTTGTGCTCAACTTTCTAAGCAATTATGTGACAGGATGAAAGACACTACTTTAAGATACTTATATGCATATAATTGTTACAACATGGTCACACACCAGTGTGGATGTGTTAAAGGTCAGTTGTGGACATTTTATAAAATACTGGTATCAATTTATTATTAAGAAATTTATTTCTATGCAACAATAAATCTACCCCCACTTTTTACAGGATGGAAAACCTGTACCCCCCGTTTTTGAACTAGGTTTTAATTGAAAGTGAAATAAAATCAGGCACTATCTGTATGTGTATAGGCAAGATGCAAAATTCTTAAATGCTGTCTATAAAGCTGGATATTTTTATTGATGAATCTATAAAATTCTGGAAAATAGTTTTAATCAATTGCATATTGAAATCAGTCATATTACAGTAATGTAAACTCAAGCAAAACAGCAATTCTCATCCTAAAAGAAAATACTTTAATCTCATAAAAACAAAACCATTTAAAAGAAGATAATAAAGCTACATAGCATAATAATACAAGATCGGACTACTTGATGGAACGCAGTGTTTATGAATCATGTCAATTTCTGCACTAGGATGATTCAGGATCTAACTGGCAACTCTACGACAGAAAATCAGAAAAGCAAGTTTGCTTTGCAAATTGACTTAAGTAAGGTCTCTCGTGGGATTAAATACTCAACCAGCGCTCTTTGAGATTCTTTCCTATTCCATAAGGTGCTTAAAATCAGGTACTCAGCTCTTGTGTGACTCCACCATTAAGTTATACGGGTGCAAATTCAGCACAATTCTTGCATTTCCTATCGTATGAGTATTACCTAAGGTCTAGCAAATGACACCAAAGCTAACGGTCATTTTCTTGTCACCTGCTTGTGAGCAGTGGATCAGGATTTACTGAGATTTCCTTTTTCTTGCATATACATTATTTTTAAAAAGAGGAAATATTTTAATTGGCACAAATATCTCTGAAATGGGATAACCAAAATGTTTGAACTTATGAGTATGGTTAAGTAAAGACCTCAGTTCTGCACCAAAGTAACTTTGGGTTTTGAAAAGTTCCTGGAACATGAATATATGAAATCAGAAATACCTCATCCCTGCAAACTGCACTATATTGTCAAAAGTGAACATTTGCCAGTATTCAGTAGAGCAGTTTTATGGAAAGATTACACTTAAGCAATTAAATAATATTTTGTCTAAACATACATCACTTTGAACTAAGAATCATTAATTATATCTATTGATATTTTAATTATTAAACAACATATTACTGCCCAATCTTCCATTCTTCACAAACACAAATAATTACTTAGAAAAAGAAACATGTTAGAAGTTACCTTACTCATGTTGCAGAGCCAATAAACTAAAAGCTAGGACTTGCCAGAATTAAGATGGTCAGTGCAATGTTTAACCAGCACATACGTAAATTTACATGATGATATAGTCTAAATATATACTCAATTATTATTTTCTCACAAGTTTCCTGCCTTAGTGAGTGCATAGATGGTGACACTCATTCATAAGCATCTATTCAATTGCAACTCTCGTGGTAGAATTCTCAAATTCTCCTCTCAGTGTCATTTCTGTCAACTGCTTATATATTTGGATATTAAATTTTTCCATCATTCAAGTCAGAAAATAACGTTTCCTTGGAACTGACTTTTTTTTGTATTTTAGTATGTGTATATTTAGCACCAGGACTGACTTTCTGAACAAAAGATAAAAGAAGTACACCTAAACATATCCGTCATGAACAAGGTTATGCGGATGAATGCATTTACCACCAACCATTCCTGTATCTCTTCATATCTCCTTATAGAGCTGATCCATTTTTTATTAAAACAATTAAGTATTGGACTAGATTACAGTAGAGACATTGAATCTACAGTGCAGCAGATATTATACCAACTAGAGATGTGTTTTCCCATAAGAACACAGAACATTAAAACTCTTATTGAGAGCTAAATGTAGGTCATCCTAAGCCTGCTCTTCTTTCTTCAAAAATGTTTTTCTTCCCCTAGAATACCCTCTCGTCTTCTGACACTATGCAGTTTAGGGACTTTCTGAACCAGAGAGAGGATCCAGATCATTGTGTTTGATTAGATACCTACTTTCAAATAGTCTGCTGTTAAGGTATTCACTTGGGAATGGTACATTGAGACTTGAAGCTGAGTCTCTTACGTTCCACTTTCCTGCCTGAAGACAAAGGTACAAACTGCTGTGTGGGTCTTTTTCTGTCCCTTTGTATTCAAACAAAAGATATCAGTTTTATTTTAAGTGACAGATAGAAAAAAACTTTGAAATTTGGAAAAGTTTTATGTGATGCAAAAAATGTCTAACTAATCTTCACATCTGACTGCTTCGTGAATATTAATTCATTTATTTTCCCCAAATCCTTGTGAGACAGATGAGTAATTGGAATTTCTACAATGGTTGCTAAAAAAATTTACAACATTTGAACTAATTTTCTGGTTTTAAAGAGAGGGAACAGAGGTATACAGTGATTAGGGTGAAAGTACATGGGTTTTTGAGCACACCTAATTTTTGAAAGTATGTAGCACTGTATGTCATTTTATGTACTCAAGATACATGTCCCATTTACTTTATAGATAGATTAGTAGACATGCTGATATTTTCAGCTAACTGTTGAGTTTGAAATCATGCACTTTGAAATAAGTGACCACCTAATGATCACTTACAAAAAGTCTGAGTAAGTACTGTGGGTAATATTTAAGAGAAGGCATTAGACTCTGCGAAAGAGTGCAATTTGACTTGGCACCTAAGGTACTTCTGCTGTGAAACCACTGACTTAACACAAACAGTCCACCTTCATTCACTACTTATCTTCCAACCTTTTCTAGAAAGAAAATGCAGTTTTAAAAACAATAGGTCACTATGCAAGCTTGATTTCATTCCATAACAAATTTATCTTGTACAGTGAACGTGGTAAAATTCCAGTAGAAAAAAAACTTATGTGATCACACAGCAAGAGACTGTATCATAATATAATGTATACAAGTAGCTGAATGCAAGCTGTTCAGAGAACCTTTTTTGAGTGTTTTATTTTACAATTTAGGAATTTTACTAACTTATATCTGCGAGTAAAGTTGGGGGGGGGGTGTTTTGGTTTGTTTTTTAAAGGAACCTGAAAATATTGAAGTGGAAAAATATGAGTTCATAGAGATACTTAAGCCACCAGAAAGGACCACTCCAGAGATACCACTATCACTATTGTTTCCTCTTTATACCTGGCAAACCAGTGTAAGGTGTTTCCTCTTTCCTATCTGGTGCAGGCTCCATAGCTCAGCTCCACTGCCTTTGACCAGCAAGTCACAGCCTCACATTCTGGACTCTCCTTTCATTCTTGGTCTCTCATACGTATTCAGGCTTCCAAGGCCCAGCCTGCACTTCCCCATACACTTCAGCTTCTAGTTCTAGTTTCTATTACACTTAAGTCTACTTTCCCAAACAACCTCCTTTTCTTGCTATAGCTGGCTCCTTTCCTTTCTCCATTCCTCCTTGGCTAAGAAAGCAAATCTCTGATAGCAAAGAAAAATCCAGTTTGAGCACCCAAAATTACAGCTAGTCCAATGACAGTAATTTAGAACTACAAGTTATAGTGTAAAAGGAATCTGCAGGGAATTAGCTGCTAGAGTCTACAGAGATTTGACTAAGTACACATCACAGCGATTTTCTAAGACTGTTAAACTTTTACCACAGGAACAAACAAATTAATCTTTGATTTTGTTCTTGCAAAATGTTGAACAGTTTAGGCTGATGTTTAAAGAAAATCTGCCTGAGGGAGATGCCTACCATTGAATTTTTTTTATCTAAATGGTTACGGTAAGGCAAAGAAGGCAGTCTTAATAACAAGTAGCAGTACCAGTTCATTGTAACTCTCAAAATTCATCATGAAATTGTTACATAATAATACATAAACATATATAAGCACATAAAAAGAAGGAAAAGGAAAAAATAAATCATCTAACAATACATACATTCTATTTCTCCAACTAGAGGCAGCTAAATCACTGTGACTGTAGTTATTATATATCAAATGCACTAACCTCCACTTTGTCCCATTCCACCCTCCCAATAATGTACCAGCTGAATGCAAACATATGCAAGAGAAACAATGTGAAAGACTAACTGAAAAGGAACACAATCTTAAAAACACTTGTCATTGCACACATCACATTTCTACCGTGCTATTTTAGTATTTCAAAATTTGGGTGCAGAATTATCATAAATATAGGCTTAGTCCTACATGGCTCTTTTGAGTTCCCTTTGAAAATGTTACCCATAAGCTTGATTTAACCTCTTGTCAACCACTTACATGCTCATCTTTCGGGACTGACTCTCTTTATTTCCATTGTTCTTTTGGTCAGCTGAGTTAAATAAGTTGCGAGAAGAACTGGAAGGGAAGGCAGCATTCCCACTATTACCAGTAGAATGAGTCCGGAATGAATCATCTGAAATAAAGAGTTGCAGTTTAGACAAAGAATTTTGTTTGAAAAAAATACACAGAGTGAACAGAACGAGCTGTTTTTCGTGTGGCAATAGTGGCATATTTCCTATGGCAATAATCCAAAAGTTTAACTTTGTGAGGGAAATGGTTTCAACTTAACATTTCATCAAGTATTTTTATGAAAAAACGCTAAATAAAGATAATTAGAAGACACATTTTGGAAAAGAAGATTAATACATTTAATAGATGAAAATAGTGGGATTTAATTGGCCAATCCTTAGCTGCTTAAATCGCTTAGATGAAATAGCTAAATTTGTCTAGTGTCTGCTAGTAGTGAATGGAAAAAGACAGATTCCTCTAGGAAGCAATTTGTCTCATTCTAATCTTAATCATCCAAACAACAGCAAACGGGGAGAGGGGCATTTCCCGACAGCAGTTTCTCTCCCCTAATTCAGTAGAATTTATGCATAATATTCTTTTCCTCACGTAAAATGGGTGGAGCCAAATTGCAAAACCAACCTTTTTATGACATCCAAAATGCCAATCGAGAAATTATAAACTCATTTTACTTTTACTACTTTTATACGTAACTTTAAACAAACGTGTAAAAAAAAAAAAGAATCTGAAAACTAGACTAGCACTGAAGTGCTGAAACATATTGGATATCTATTATTCTACGTTCTTTAGGAGTATGATATTTTACAGTATGCCTGTTTAATGGGGCCCACATATTCAGCACCCACACAAAAATCTAATGTAAAATCTAATATAATAACCTACTTACCACTAA